CGCCCCCGCCGCCCCGGGCCCGGGCAGGAAGGAGCTGAAGATCGTGATCGTGGGGGACGGCGGCTGCGGCAAGACGTCGCTGCTCATGGTGTTCAGCCAGGGCGCCTTTCCCGAGGTGAGGCCGCCGCTGCGCCGGGCGCGCTGGGGTCGCGGGTGGGTGAGGGGCGACCCTCGGGCCGGCCTCGGCTGAGCCCCGGGCGCCCTCGCGGGAATCCCGGGGTCCGGCGGGCCGGGGCTCCGAGCTGGGTGGGCGTGGGTGACCTGCGTGGGGCGCCCGGACGCCTGCTTCTCGCTGCTGGAGCCCGACCCCACCTCTTGCCCCCCAGCACTACGCCCCCTCGGTGTTTGAGAAGTACTCGGCCAGCGTGACGGTGGGCAGCAAGGAGGTGACCCTGAACCTGTACGACACGGCCGGTGAGTGCCCACCGGCAGCCGGGCCGGCGAGGGCCCCCCACGCCGGACTCCCCGGCCCCTCGAGCTAGGAGGCCTGAGGACCCGGGCCGCGTCTGGGAGTGGAGAGGGCTCGCGGGCCAGCTGCGGGCCGTGCTGGGCCCTGGCTTGCACCTCTCTAGCGGGGCTAGAAGGCGTGGGCTGCGCCCCTGCCCCGGGTTCCAGGATGGCGGGTCCTGGGCCGTGCTCTCTGCGGGCCCCCGGGCTGCGGACTGAGTCTCGGGCCAAGGGCTCTGTGGCTGGCAGTTAGTTCTGCGTCTGAGGCGCAGGGCACCTGTGGGTGTGAGTTCTGTGACCCCGGCTTTTGGGGTCACGTGGACTTCGGCTCGGCGATGTGCAGCACCACAGCTGCAGGTAGTCCTGGTTTCGCGGAGAGCAACTAGACAACTGTAAGGATGAACGGAGGAGGCCAGGTGTGGCCGCCGGCACCGGTAATCCTAGCGCTTGGGAGGCTGAGGCAGGATAACTGGGCTAAGTAGCTACATAGTGATATCTTATCTCAGAAAAAGAAAGAGCCAGACGCCTGTGAAACCCAACACTTGGGAGGCTGAGGCAGGTGGATCGCTGAGAGTTTGAGGCCAGTCTGGGCTGTACAGTGAGTTTAAGGCCAGTGGGAAATACCTGGTGAGACCCTGTCTATAAATATAAAAAATAAAAATGAAGTTGAAAGGAGGGAGGGAGGAAACAGACCACCATCTGCTTTGCGTTCACCTGCAGCTCGTCACCAAGGGAGTTAGGCCAGTGCTCGAACCCTCTGGGGGAGCCGCCTTGTAAGGGTGGGAGAAACAGTAGGAAGACCCTGGTTTCCCCTCTGGGGCCACAACTTGGGGACAAAGGTCAGGACCCCCAGGTGGAGCCTCACCCGGCTCTGTGACTCAGTGTTTGGTGACGGGGTGGGGCGTCTCCAGCCGTCTCCTCCCCGACGGCCCAGCTTGTGCTGCCACACCTCCCTCCCTGGCCTTGGATGGGCCTGAGACCCCCTCTGCCCCAGGCTGGGAACGGCTGTCTCACTCCACTCCTGGCCTGAGCAGGCCCCATACATGGGTGCCCTGCCCTGCAGTGGCTGCTGATGATCCCCGCTCTGGGAGGGGACCCGCGGGGCTGCCCCAGAGCACAGCTTGCGGCCGAGGTGAGCGGGTAAAGCCCAGGACTGCCCAGGAAGTCCCCAGGCGTGGCCGGTCCCCAGAAGTAAAGGTCTTTGGGGACACTTTTCTTTTCACATGCTCCCTGTCCCAGAGCCTGGGGTGGGTGGGGACATTGCCCCAAGTGGAAGTGCACAGCTGGTGTGTCCACCCAGGGACCCGGGAGAGCCAGGGACATCTGCCGCGCCCCCTCCCAGCCCTCCGGCTGCTCCCCAGCAGGCTCCCTGTGAGGCCAGTGTCCCCTTCCGGCTGAGAGGTGCTCCAGGGACAGGACAGAGGAGAGGGCCTGCAACCAGTCCCCAGAGCTGCTACTTGTAAAGAAAGTTTGTGCTGGATTCCCCGGAGGGATGCAGGGATTGCCATGGGCGGTCACTGGAGGCAGGGATGAGCCTGTCGCTTGCTTTGATGCCACCCCCCATTGGCTGTGTACCGTTGGGGACAGCTGGGCGTTGCTTTCCTCACCAGGGATAAATGGTCATGAGAATTAAATCAGCTCACCATGCTCCATGCAGGGCTGGCTGTCAGGGGGCCTCGGAGGTATTTTTGTTGTGACTCTGTTTCCTTTTCCTTTGCTTTTGTGGTGCTAGGGATCAGACCCAGGGCCTGGCATCTACTGGGCGAGTGTTGTACCACGGGCTTCACCCAGTCACCCTGTGCTTTATTATTTATTTGTTAACTTACGGCTTTTTGAGAAAGTGCCTGGCTGCGTAGTTCAGGTAGGCCTTGACCCTCCTGCCTCAGCTGCCTGTGCGGCCCTCTTGTGATTGTCTTACACCAGCCTGTCATCAGCCCAGCTGCAGGGGGCATCAGTTTTCCCAGTGGGAATCAGCCGAGGCCTAAAGAGCAGAGCTGGCCAAGGTTTTAGTGAGTGGCTTTGCAGTGGACATGGTGACTGAGGAGGACACCGTGGGGGGCGACTGTGGCTGGGAAAGCCCTAGACCTAGGAAACCCCCGTCAGTGAGCAGCCCGGGTGGAGGGGGGACTGTGTCGTCCGGGGCGAGTCAGACGACATGGCTTGGAAGAGACTGCAGGACACAGTGACTCCTTGGGATGGGATGAGGATGGCCAGGTGACCCTCCAGGAGAAAGGCAGAGACACGGGGATGAACACAAGGGCCAGGCGAGTCCCGCTGGCTAGGGGTGTAGAAAGTTCTAGAACCCGACGGCCCAGGCCCAGTCAGTAGAGTGGAGCCGTGGGACTGCAGTGGCTCAGGACAGCTCTGACAGGCCCTTGTCCCCAAGGCCAGTCTGGCTGCAGGTGGTCGTCACCTTCCTGCGGAAGCTGCTGCAGACACCACCGCGGCTGCCGTGGGCTCAGAGCTCGGAGGTGGGGAGCCGGGCCGAGCACCCATTGCTGCAGCAGCCTCGCCCACCGCCTGACAGATCCTGAGGCCGGAAGCTGTGGTGAGGGCCCGGCTGGGGCGAGGGCTTGCCACCCGCACCCTGAGCTCATCCGGGCTGGGGCACAGGGGTGCGAGAGGTGGGTCCCCTCGCAAGCCCAGGTGACGTAGGGAGCGGGGGCCACAGGAGTCGCTCACACAGGGAGCCCGACACGATGGGCGCGGGGAGGCCTGGGGTGGCGGCGTGGCCTCCGAGGCTCAGGGCCGAGGGTCCCGGGCCATCCTGCTCAGGAGGAAGCGCAGGTGGGTGGGCCCCAGCTGGTGAGCGGCTTCCTCTTCTGCTGCTTCCCCTTCCCACCCACCGCGCCGCACCCCTCCCGACCTGCGCCCCAGCCTGGGCTGGGAACCACTGTGGCCCCGTGACACCCGCCCGCTTCAGCTCAGCTCTGGGCCTTGGCGACCTCCGCCCCAAGAGGGGCTGCTGACACAGAGCCCACGCCACAAAGGAAATAGCCAGGTGGGGTGAGCCCCGCTTCCGCCCGCCCATGGCCCCACCAACCACAGGATGAGCAGCTGGGGAGCCTGGTCCAGACACCTCCCCGCCCCCAGACGCGTGCTTCCTCTGCGCGGATCGCCCGCTTGTATTGACTGATTGGTTAGGTCTTTCTGAGACAGGGTCTGTAAACCCAGGCTGGCCTCAAACTTGAAAGGAACCTCCTGCTTCGGCCTCCTGAGCAGGGAGGGGATCACAGGCGTGCATCGCCATGCCCAGCTGTGGCCTTCAGGCCTTTTACTAACCAGCTCAGGCGGGATTAAGCAGCCCCTTTCCCAGAAAAACAAACAGAGACCGTGGGAAGAAAGCACCAGGACCCCGAGTTGTGGGTCTCAACGGTGAGGGGTGCTCCTGGCCTGGGCACAGCAAGGAACCCAGGACATCCAAGCCCTCCCGGGAAGGCATGGGGGCGGCAGCACCCACAGGACCGAGGGCAGAGTCAGGTCAGGAAGGCAACCCAGAGAAGGCGCAGGGCTGGGCTGGGTGGACAAGATGAGCACCATTCCCCAGTTCTCTCTGCGGTACACGGCAGGAAGGCATCTCAGCAGCCCTGTGTGCGCCCTTGGGCGTCACTTTACCTCTCGGTGCTTTTGAGCAGGGACGACACACTGCAGGCGAAAGGCCTCATGGCCTTGGGGGGAATGCTGTGGGGTTCCCCATCTTTATTTGCTGGGTGGTGGCTGCCGGTTTTTCAGGGGCTGGGGATGGAATCCAGTCTCACATGCGATGGCAAGCACTCTACCACTGAGCTACAGCCCCAGCCCCACGTTCTGTTTCATTTTGAGCTAGAATGTCACTGCTTTACCCAGGCCGGCCTTGAACTTGTCTCTTCCTGCCTCAGCCTCCCAGAGTGTTGGATTATAAGCGCCTGGCTAACCATCAGGCCTCATCTGCTTTTCACGTCCATTCCGGATGATGAGACTGGGGGTTAGGGGTTAATGCCTATGGGGGAGGCTCCTCGGGAGAGCCTGAACCATTTTTTTCCTTTTTTGTTTTTACAATACATGGCATTAACCTAGGGCCTTCACCCTTAGCTACATCCCCCGCCCATGTTTTCATTTTGAGAGAGGGTCTCGCTAAGTCACTAAATTGCCCAGGCTGGGCTTGAAGTTGCAACCCTCCTGCCTCAGCCTCCACCACACCTGGCTGAGCCGGTGCTTTGGGAGCAGCTTGGCTGGCAATGGTCTTGCCCTGCGAACCAGCTGGTGCCGTCACAGGTGCCCAACTGACCTTGACTGAGGCCCCTCAGCCACTTGGGCTCCTCCCAGGAAGGTTCCTGCCTGGCACGTGCGCACGCGCACACACACACACCACCCGCCGCAGGCTGCTGCCGGATCGAGGCGAGGAAGTCAGGTGCGAGCGAGTGAGCACCAAAGGGCCAGGCTGGAGCGGAGCCCACACACTTAGCTCGCCCACACGTGTCTGTTCCTCTGCTCCCCACGTTCTGAGCTCTCCTGTGTTCCAAGGAGGCAACAGTGAGCTGCACAGAGGTGGCCCTGCCCTCGGGAAGAGGAACAAAGACCAAAAAGGGACGAGAAGTGGCAGTGTGTGCCTGGGAGCACAATAAAGCCAGGCTCACAGGACAGGCTGCTAAGGAGCTGTTTGTGGGCGTCAGGAAAGGACTCCTGGCGGCGGTGACCTTCCTGCAGAGGCCTGCAGGAACTGAGGGAGCAGACCAGGCTGCTCCCTGTCCAAAGGGCCTGCTGGGAGAGGAACAGCAACCCAGCCTGGAATTCTACACTCTGGGAGGCTGAGGCAGGAAACCGTGTCTCAAAATAAAAACAAGGCTGGGAACGCAGCTCAGTGTGAAGGCCCTGCGTTCAGTCCCCAGTACTACCCCCTCCCCCAAAAAAGCTGGGCCTGGTGGTACACACCGTAACCTTAGCACGTGGGAGGCTGAGGCAGGAGGATCGCCCATCAGTTCAAGGCCAGCTTGCACTACAGAGTGAGACCCTGTCTCAGAAAAAGAGAGGAACCCCAAGAGTGGCCCAAGCGGGGGACGAGCCAGGTGCGATGGCTCCCAGCGCTCCCCAGTCAGACTCTTCCTGGGCCACCTCCACCACGACTGCCCAAGGACACGCCATGGTCCCCTCCTGCAGGCTTCTAAGGGGCAGCGAGAAGCATGTTTGCCAGACACATGGAGCCCAGTGTTAGGTCACACGGGCCGGCTTTGGTCAGCACAGGAAGACCCCACCGGCTTCCCACGCGGGGTGCAGGGGCTGGGGCCCAGGGTGTGCTCACCTCTGCCCCCCACCGCCCTGCAAGTCGCCCTGGGAATGCTGTGGGCTGTGAGCAGGTCACGTCACTTGTGTGACACTCTGTCTCTTTCTCTTTTCTTCACACTGAGCTATATTCCCAGCCCCTTTTTTAAATTTTTGAGTCAGGGTCTCACTAAGTTGCCCAGGCTGGGCCAGAACTTGTGATTCCTCCTGCCTCAGCCTTCCAGAGGATTACTGGAATGTGCACCACCACACCAGCCTGAAATGCAGTAGTTCTCTACGAATAGGATGGGAGTTCCTCAGGATCCATGGCTGTTTGGGTCCAGATCCCCACAGGTGACAAAATCTATGCATGCTCAAGCTGCTGCTTTTTTTTTTTTTTTTTTAAAGACAAGGTATTGCTATGTAACCTTGGCTGGCCTTGAACTCAGGGCATTCCTCCTGCCTCAGCCTCCCAAGTGCTGGGATTATAGGCATATGCCACCATGCCAGGCTTCCTGCACATTTTCTAGCCAAGGTTATTTCTGTGGATACTCGATCCAAAGCTATGGGGGACTGATGATATTCATAATCCCCGTATCAACTTGAGCTGTAATGTAGGGATTTCTTAATTATTTATAGTCAAATGCATAAGGGGTGTCATTATAAGGGTAGAGCAAAGGCATTATCTGTACTTCTCTGAAAAAGGAGTTATATAGTCTGAATTTTTCCTCCAGTACTGGGAATTGGACCCAGGGAGCACTGAATTACATCCACAACTCTTTCAAAAACTCTTATTTTTATTTATTTATTTTTTGGCCACACATGCTGGCATATACCTGTAATCCTGGCACTCAGGAGGAGGCTGAGGCAGGAGGGTTGCTGTGAGTTGGAGGCCATCCTGGGCTACATAGTGAGACGCTGTCTCAAAAAACCAAAGGGAAAACATTTTTGAGACAAAGTCTTGCTAAATAGCCCAGGCTGGCCTTGAACCTGCAGTCCTCCTGTCTCATCCTTCTGAAAGGCTGAGCTGACAGGTGTGCGCCCCCAAACTTGGCTGAGTGTGAATATATGAAAATAAACTGCGATGAAGGAAATAGTGGGGGTGCGGGGATAAGCATTCCAGGAGTGGGCGCAGCGGGCACCGCTGCTTTGAGGCGCCTGGAGGAGGCCTTGGCTGACGGCGGGGAGCAAGGAGGCGGAGTCAGGGCGGCGCCAGGGCCAGCAGGGAGCGGGGAGGCAGGCAGCTCCGGGAGGGGCAGGTCCTGCCTTGCTGTGTGCTCTGTCCAGCAGCGGTGGAGGATGGATTCGCGGAGGTGCTGCAGGGGACGGGGAGAGCGGACAGGCGGCCCGGGGCTGGGGCGGGGCAGCCGCTGTGCACCCCACAGTAGCCACCGCCGCGCAGCACAGCCGTGGCACCCGGTGTCGCCCTTTCATTGTCATTAGGTGAAAATAGCCACGCGGCTGGAAAGAGGGGCAGGCTGGGGACATGTGCGAACGGACCCTGGGCCGGCTCCCCGTGCGCACCAGGAGAAGTCAGAGGGCAGCCCTCCTCCCACTGCGGGGGCTCTGGCTGAAGGACAGCTGTCCTCCCCCGGAGCAGCTTTTATTAAGAGGACCGTTTTCCCTGAGGGACCCTGGCCCCCCGCAGGCGTCCTGGGACCTGAACTTGTGTCTTTCTTGCCTGTGGAGCCCCAAATCACCCTACCCCCGAGCTACATCCCCGACGCTTTTTTGATTTTGAGAGGGAGCCTCTCAATCAGTTGTCCAGGCAGGACTGGAACCTGAGATCCTCCCGCCTCAGCCTCCCCATTGCTGGGATGACAGGTGTGTGTCGCTGTACCTGCCTTAGTCACGGTGACCCAAAGCACTGTGCTGTGGCAGAGCTGCCCAGGGCTCGGTCCCTGAGGCCAGGACAGGTGGCCTGTCAGGTGCTGGGCCGGCCCGGGAGCCAGGAGAGGCTGCGTGGAGAGGCCTCTTGTCCTGAGAGGACTTGCAGAAACCGGTGCCACCGGGCACCGCTGCAGCCAAGCCGGGGGGGGGGGGGGCATGCCACACCTACAGGTCATGTCTCCCAGGCCTCCTAACTCCTCTTCCTTGACAGAAGCCGCTTTGCATAACGCTTTGCAGACCCTGAGGCCTGCAAAGGGGAGCGGATGAGCTGCTGCTTACTTATCCACAGGGCCTGTGCCCCTGGACCACGGTGTGTGAGCCTTCTCCAGCCAAGGCGGGGGGGGGGGGGGCATGCCCTGCTGGCTCTCAGTTCCCGCTGCGGCAGTTCCCCAAAACTCCCGAGGCGCTTCGACTGAACAGTGCAGCACCCTCGCCTGCTCCTAGACTAGGGAAAACTTAATTTCGCTGTTGATGACAGGGAGACATGGGCACACACCTGTGCCCCTGATCTCAGCCTCAGGAAACCACGCAGCGGCTCAGAGGACGCTCAGAGCATGCGCAGTGGCCCCGCGGGGTCCAGACACCCAAGTTCAGGTGTAGATAGGCAGGCAGGGCCATGGGTAAACCATCAGCCTCCTGGAGTCTTTTGCACTCTTGGTTGCAGTTTTTTTGTCTAAGTTTGAAATTGTCAATATAAAAAGTTAATCTAAAAATCTATTTAAAATGCAAGAGAACCAAACTGGGGAGGTGGCGCATGCCTTGTAGACCCAGCACCCAGGAAGCTGAGGCAGGAGTATTGCTATGGGTTTATGACCAGCCTGGGTTACATAGTAACACCTTGTCTCAAAAAAGAAAGAGGACCTGCTGGACAGGGTGGCTAATCCCTGCCTTCCAGAGGCTGAGGCAGGAAGATCCCTTCGAGTTCAAGGCCAGCCTGGGCCAGTTAGGGCCTGTCACACACAAAAGGATGGAGCACTGGTGTTTGTTTTTTGTTGTTGTTTTCCGGTACCAGGAATTGAACTCATGACCTTACGCTTGCCAGGCAGGCGCTGTGCCGCTGAGCTAAATCCCCAGCCCCAGGATGGAGCACTGTTGAAGTTGGGTCTTGGGTTCCGATTCAGCCAGGACTTCCCTGGGGAAGCCTGAGGTGCAGCCAGGTCCCACCACTGCTATCCAGGCTGAGGGGGGGCTGCCTGCTGTTATTTCTAGCACCTCCTCCTTCCTAATCTAGCATGGGCTGTGCAGCCCCCCAGATCTGAATCCCAGGGACAGAGGCTCCAGAATCGGAGCATTTGCCCTGAGCATCAGGCAGGGACAGGGCGCTCATGGGCAGAATTGCTGGCAGTTCAGCTGGTGTGGAAGTGCACCCCTGTAATGCCAGCACTCTGGGAGGCTGAGGCAGGAGGATCACAAGTTCCCACCCAGCCTGGACAACTTTGTGACTTAACCCATCTCAAAAATAAAAATGGATTGGGTGTGTAGCTCAGTGCAAAGACCAGGGTGCAACCCCCAGTACCACAAGAAAAAAACCTGCTGGCAGCTTTCCGTCACCTAGCTGTGATCAGCCCCGCTCGGAGCATGTGGGCGGCCCCACCCCAGGAGCCCAGCAGGGACTCAGGTCACACGAGCTGTCTCTCTGGCACAGGACAGGAGGACTACGACCGGCTTCGACCCCTGTCCTACCAGAACACCCACCTTGTGCTCATATGCTATGACGTCATGAACCCCACCAGCTACGAGAACGTCCTCATCAAGGTGAGGCCCAGCCTGCCTGGGGCCGGGGGTAGGTGGGGAGCCCAGCACAGCACAGCCCTGGCCGATTCTCCCTTCTTTCCCAGTGGTTCCCGGAGGTCACACATTTCTGCCGGGGGACCCCCATGGTGCTCATTGGCTGCAAGACGGACCTGCGCAAGGACAAGGAGCAGCTGCGGAAGCTGCGGGCAGCCCAGCTGGAGCCCATCACCTACAATCAGGTGGGCGGCCCCCAGCACGGGGGTGGGGTGCGGTGGGGGTGTCCCGGGTCCCACACAGGGCCACAGCCAGAGAACCTCCCAGACCTTTCTGGTCTCTGCACCAGGGCTGCCTTAGTGGCTTTCCCAGGAGTGACACAAACAGGATTCTTGTTTGAAACAGGGTCTCACTATGTGGTTCACTGGCATTGAACTCACTGAGCTCCTCCTGCCTCAGCCTCCTGAGTGCTGAGATTACACGCATGTGCTACCATGCCGGCCAAGTAAGCAGGAACCTAAGAATAGTAAAATACTGACAGCTGAAGGGTCTGAGCACTGACTACAGTACGTACTTCATCTCATCCTCATGCCTCTGAGGGAACTGTTAACATCCCCAGTTTACAGGGGAGAAACTGAGGCCCAGAAAGGTTGCTTAAGCAGCTTGCCCAGAGGCACACAGCTCAGCAGAAGTGGAGCCAGAACCTGGCCCCACTCACTCAGCCTCCTTCCAGTCCTATCTAACTGGAAGAACGTGGGGCGGGCGCTAGTTTGAAAACAGGCAACTGGATATGGTGGTGCACCCCATAACTGCAGCACTTTGGGAGACTGAGGCAGGAGGATGCAAGTTTGAGCTCAGCCTGGGCAACTTAGCGATTTGACATGATCCTGTCTCAAAAAATAAAAGGGGCTGGAGGTATAGTTCAGTGTGAAGACCCTGGGTTCAATCCCCACCACTGCAAAAAAAAAAAAAAGGAAGAAAGAAAGTAGGTGCCCCTGCCCCACACCCTGGAGAGTTGAAGGCAGGTCCACAGCCTGCAACCTTGGGGGTGGGGCATGAGTATACAGTAGAGAGAACACAAAGGCAGATTAACAAGGAAACTTTCATTAAAGGGAATAAGCATAAATATGATTTTAAAAATATTTAGCCAAGCCTGGAGGCACGACTGTAGCCCCAACGCTGAGGAGGCTGAGGCAGGAGGATCACTGTGAACTGGAGGCCCGCCTGAACTACACAGCGGGACTCTGCCTCAAAAAATACATTTTTTAAAGATTTTTGAAAACTAGTAGCGACTCGGGCCCACCGGCGCACTCAGAGAGGGGCGCAGAGATTCTGTGTCTCGCACCTTCTGGCTCTTCTGCCTGAGGGTGAGGTAGGGGGCGCAGGGGCTCCCCCAGCAGGACGGGGCTCTGCACTGCGCGGCAGGAGACCAGCAGGGCCGCAGCCCCCTCACCGCTTGCTCCCCGCAGGGCCTGAGCGCCTGCCAGCAGATCCGCGCTGCGCTCTACCTCGAGTGCTCGGCCAAGTTCCGGGAGAACGTGGAGGACGTGTTCCGGGAGGCCGCCAAGGTGGCGCTCAGTGCACTGAAGAAAGCGCAGCGGAAGAAACACCGCCGGCTTTGCGTGCTGCTGTGAGCCGGCCACCAAGGTCCTGGGCGGGGCTCACTGCGAGAGGACGCCAGGGCCTCGCCTGAGGGCCCACGCTGGTGGCCAGTGAGGTCCCTGTATGGAGCCAGCCCTTGTTCCCGAGCGCCCCCCTCCCAGGGTCCCCTGTGCACACCCAGCTCGTGGGTACAACTTGGAATACGCCAGGGACCTGGGCAGTCGTGACTTGGCGCCACCCTGCACAAGCGCCCAGCCCTGCTGCCCGAGCCGCCGCCCTGGGCTCCCGAGATAGGCAGGCTGCATCCTCCTGCCTCTTCCTCCCCCCGCCCCCCGGGAACTCGGGCCACCATGGGGCCAGAGCCTATCGGGACGCAACAGGCGGCAGCCCCGGATGTGGGGCGGGCACCAGCCGCCCTCTTCCTCTCCATTCCGCGTAGAGGACCTGGGCCTCGGCAGGGCCACCGTCTGTTCAGAGCTGGGCACAAGTACCCAGGGGGAGAAGGACAATCTCGAAATGCCGAGTGCCTGCCCTGGGCCGCCCCTCTGACCCTGCTCCAGGTCTCCCTGCCCCGGGGACAGGGTGGAAAGTCTGCTCTCTGCATAGAGCGCATCCCATCCAAGCCAGGAGCGGGCCGTCTAGCAGGTCTGAGCACAGAACCACAGCACCGCCTGGCACACACGGACAGCGTCTCTGGACAAGACCCCCGACGTCCTGAGAGCCACATCCCTGAGCCCCACAGTTCTAGGGTTGGGGCCTGGGCTGCTCTGATGCCCTCAGCTGAGAGCTGCTTGTTCTGGAGCAAGTAGGACCTGGTGCTGCTGCAGGAGCCATGGCCTTGGCCAGCGACCTCCTGCCTCAGCCTCCCTCTGCTGGCTAGATCAAGTCAGGCTGCTAGGAAGGGGACTGTGGAAGCCCCACCCCCGGGGGAGGGAGCCAGACGTCCTGTTTCATAGAACCCAAGGCCTGGGGCAGAGGCCAGCATACTACGTACAGCCCGTGGGCCGCACCTGGCCACTACCTAGTTTTGTAAATAAAGTTTTATTGGCACATGGCCACACCTACTCGCATACACTGTTGACTCGCTTCACAGCGGCACACTAGTAGCCATAGAGACTTTGTAGTCCACAGAGAAGCCTAAAATATTTACCATTTGGCTTTGACAGAAAAGATTCGATGACCCCAAACCTGGGGCAGACCCAGGGGCCTGCAAACAGCCAGGGGGAGGGGTACGCAGGCGGGGAGGGCATGGTGGCTAGCCTTGCAGGAGCTGCCACATCTGCCCCTTTCCTCCCCCTTCAGTGCAGGGAACCGAGCCAGGGCTATGGCGGAGCAACACCCCAGCCCATTTTCTTTTCTACTGAGGCAGAGCCTCACCAACTCACTTAAGTTGCTCAGGCTGGGCTCAAACTTGCAACTCTCCTGCCTCAGCCTCCCAGAGTGCTGGGGTGACAGGTGTGCACCACCATGGCTGGCCAGGTGATCTTTTTCCATTTTTTCAGAGAAAGTAAAACTGGACTTTTATGTGAAATCACTGGGGAGGCAGGGGGAATCTCTTCAAATATAACTAAAGAATTTGAAACCCTCTTGAAGGTGAAACTAACCAGGATCATGGCAGCCCTGGGGGAAGGCTGGTCAGGGTGGGGAAGCCATTAAAGGCAGCTGAGGCCCATGCGCCGGAAGGGACACCTGCGAGGAGCCCGAGGGCTTCCCCACCCTTCCTGCACCCAGATCTGACGCCAGGTGGCCCCCAGGGGAGGAGCCTGCCCGAGCTGTCCTCCCCACTCAGCCCTGAACCTGGGAAAAGGAGGGGGCGGAGGAGGGGGAGGGCGCTGAGAGGCGGGGCCCTTGCCTGCTCACAGCAAGTCTGCGGCCCAGGCTGGAGAACTGAGCTCGAGCCCAGCCAGAGCAACTTACCCAGAGGCTGTCTCAAAATAAGTACAATGGCCTGGAGAGGTAGCTCAGTACGAAAGCGCCAGGTTCGATCCCCAATAACCCAAGATTAAAACTCGGATAAAGGTGAGCTGAAGGCTGAGTGCCCGCAGACCCCAAAGAGTCCTGCGGGACTTTCAGTGTCCTTCAAACCTGCAGCCGCTCAACGCACAGCCTGGGGCGCCCCCTGCTGGCGGCCTTCCTTAAAGCCTCCCATCGCAGGCCACCTCTCCAAGGGGCCCAGCTGCCCTCTCCCAGGAAGACAGGGACAGGTCCCCGTGGGAGACTCCGCAAGCACGAAGAGCACAAGAGACAGGCTGTGGTTCTCTGAGAACTTAACCCCATCCCCAAGTGGGGGCCGCGCAGGGCTCACAGCAGAGGCAACGTGGCCAGGGGTGCAGAAGGTGTCACCCATCCCGCACCGGGACGCGGTGGGTAGCGGGGAAGCAGAAATCCAACCCCCAGAGGCACATCTGAACCCCACTGTGAGGGGTTCCAGGGACAGCGGGCCAGAGGGGCTCCCTGAGGCTTGGGCCCCGCCCCAGGGGGACGGACCCTGACTCAGCCTCCGCTGACAGCCGCTGCGGGGACTCGGGGAGCTGGTTTAAATATGTCATAAATAGGGCGAATACTGCGAAGACAGGTGCCGTCACATTCCGCGTCGGGCGGGACGCTCTCCAGCACCGTGCTGGCCCCTGAGATGCTGCTGCCTGGCCCTGGGAAGCCCAGGGCCTCTGAGCCCGGCCGGGGCACACGAGTCCGAGGCCCACGGCCTGTCAGTCCCGCTCCTACCCGGAGCTTGAGCGGCCGCTGCGACCCAGGCTACGGCGTCTTCGTTTTGTTTCTGTTCTGCTGGAGTTTGGCGTGCACAACCTTGAGTGTGGTCAGGAAGTTGCCCAGGAAGAGGACGAGGAAGGTGAGCGCCAGCACGAACACCTAGGGGATCCGGCACACCCAAGGCAGGTGGCGCAGGGAGAAGCTCCGGTCAGCGCCCCGGGGCAGCGGCCACCCCGCCCGGACCCCAGGACGCAGAGCAGAGCCGCAGCAGAGGGTGGAGGTGGGGGCCCTGGGGGCCTCCTCGGCTCACGGACCAGGAAAGGTCTTGGGGCCCTGAAACCCCTCCCAGCACCCCAGGGCCCGGCAGCAGAGTGGTGGGCAGCAGGGCCCCGAGGGCAGAATTCTCCCCACACGGCCCAGCCCCCCACGGACACACAGGCAGGCGGCACGTACCTGCCATTCTCCGCATTCCTCGTGGGTGGAGAGCTCGAACAACGTGACGGCGTTGTAGAGCTGCCAGAACTGGGGACAGACGGGACGGGCGCCGTCACCACCTGCTCCCCAGGGACCCGAGGGAGCCAGGGAGACCGAGCCCCCCCAGCTGTCCAGGATGCCACCCCGTAAACAGGACCCAACAGTCACCAAGAGAGCCAGGGGCCTAGGCACAGCTGGTGACGGCAGCGGCCTGAGGACCTCTGCTCCAGCCCAGACAGGGGACACATGCACCAGGGGACTCACGTGGCCACAGAAGAGGAACGGCAGGAGGAAGGTGAGGCCCCGCCACATCCAAGACTGGAACCCTTCTGCGGGGAGAAGCATGAGCGAGGGCTGCATGAGGGGCTCCCTGACATCAGCCTGGCACAATCCGGGCAGGGCCCCCCGAGGGCCTCCAGTGCCCGGCTGGCCACCGGCGCCGTCACACCGCTGGGCACTGAGCCTGAGAACGCCCTCCCACTGGGCTTTCCCCGATTTCTCTTGTGTGTGTGCGCGCATGTGTGTGTGTGTGCATGCGCACGCGAGAGCACTCGTGCACAACTCCTCCCTCCCCACCCCCCTTCCCTCTCTCACGTTCTCATTACGAGAGATTGCAGCCAGGACCTTCGCACTGAGCTGCACCCCAAGCCCCTTTCACCTTTTATTTAGAGACAGGATCTTGCCAAATTGCCCAGACTGGACTCAGACTTGTGGTCCTCCTGCCTCTCAGCACTGAGATTACAGGCACGTGTCACCTCACCCAGCACACATTTCTTTAATTTGCACAGGACTTTGTAATTTCTTATGGACATTCTCATGTACCATTTCAATCACATCTTGCCAGAGTAGACCCCTTTGCAGAGTAACTGGAGGGAAATGACAGGTTCATACAGTAGCGGAGTTTTAATAGAAACAGGTCCTCTTCTAAAGTTTAGACAAGGAGATTACAAGCTTTTTAAAGTGGGTATGGCTGTGGGCAAAAGTTAAGCACATGTCCCAGCATACATGTATATGAATGTCTGTGTATATTGATATGCAGACATGTTACAGATCAACGGTATGCACAACTGACAATGGGTTAACATTATACGCAGCATTAAACAGATGCACCAGGTGTGGTGGCACACATCAGTAATCCCAGCTACCCCAAAGGCTGAGGCAGGAAGATCACAGGGTCCAGGTCAGCCTGGGCAACTCAGTGACTTAGTCTCAAAATTGTTAAAAATGAAAAGGGCTGAGGATATACCTTGGCGGTGGAGCACTTGTGCCGTATATGGGAAGCCCCGGGTTCAAACCCCCGTCCCAACGAAACGAAACGAAACAAAATAAAATAAAAACCACGGACAAAACAGACATGTTATGCGGGAGACAGTGGGACCCCAGCACTCAGCTGGCCTCCCACAGCTACTGACGCAGAACCCACTGTGAACTGTGCAGAGCGACGCCGCAGTGTGGGGCCAGGCAGGCCGGGGCTCCATCCGCCAGCTACTCACCGACCGTGAGGTCCAGGTGGTTCCGTTCGCCCAGAGCCCGCAGCCGGTAGAGGCAGCCCCGCTGGTAGTAATACTGCAGGAACTGCACGCAGCCTGCAGGGGGCACACGCCCGGCTCAGGCTGACGCTGGGACAGCACAGGGGACCCTTGTCCTCCAGGCCGAAGGCGACAGCTGACCAGGGCTGCTGGCCCATGGCCAGTCCCTGGGCCACGAGGTCACCTTCTCCTCCCCACACCCTCCCTAAACAGGAACCCGCCTTATCCCTTATCCAGAACCAAAGCGCACTCAGACGTGCAAGCAGCTAAGACCCAGCCAGACTTGAAGGACACTAGAGCTTCCCAGCCACGCGGCAGGCACTCGATAACCGCACCGCAAACGTGCCGAGCTGCGACAGGACCTGCGCAAACGCTGGGACACGCAGGGGCGGCTCCCCGCGATGGCAGCCTTCCTAGTCGCTAGAAAATGAGGACGTACTGACAGAAAAGCAGCCCTGAACTGTTTTAATACGTATGTGTACGTGTATTTATGAGTAAAAATAGCTGAAAGGAATAGAGCAAAACACTGATCACTCCTAAGGGAAGAATGATAATGCAATTTCCATTCTTGGTTTCCCAAATGTGTGTTTGTTTGCAAGCAGGTTCTCATTTAGAAATGAAGTTTTTTTGTGTGTGGCAGGGTCTCACTATGCAGTTCAGGCTGGTCTCGAACTCACACCATCCTCTTGCCTCAGCCTCCTGAGAGTTGGTAATTAAGTTGTATTTTGGTGGTGTTTGCTATACGGTCCGAGCTACTCAGAAGGCTGAGGTGTGAGGATGGCGGCCTAGACAACGTAACCAGGCCCCATCTCCAGGAAAAAAAAAATTTCAGATCGGGAATGCCGCTCAGTAGGACAGCGCATGCCTAATGCACACAAGGCCCTGGGTTCCATCCCCAGCACGACACACACACACACACACACACACACACACAAACAGGAGGCCAACCCTGGGACCAGATCATTGTGTGCAAATCCAGAGCTAGTCTCACGTGGAAAATGTGAGAAAAAGTTACTCATTTCCATTTTGAGGATTTGAGTATTTTTTTCTTTTTGAACTGGGAATTGAACTCAGGACCTTGCGCTTGCCAGGCAGGCCCTTGTGCCGCTGTGCTATATCCCCAGCCCCTTGAGGATTTACTTGAAACCAGGAGGCAAGGCTGGCACCCCCACACAACCCCACCCCGAAACTGCTCCTGTCCGCCCCGGGCGGTGCTGGGCTGGAGGAGCAGGTGGCCCGGGCGCAACAGCTCTTCTCCACATTTCTGGCCGGCACCAATGCCTGCCGGGGACCCCTGTGGCGAAAGCCCCGGGAAATCAGCCCCCACCCCAAAGCGAGGCTCAGGTACTCACTCTGGAAAATTGAAAATGCTAAAAACTGATTGCGAAACTTCTGATAAATGAGTCCATTAGGCCTGGAAGGAGACAGAATGAGGGTGAGGCGCAGTGAACAGATGTCCACCTGCCCCGCTCCGTTAAACCAAGGCCCCGGCTCTCAGCCCCGGCTCTCAGCCCCAGCTCTCAGCCCTTCTTTGTCCTGGGCCCGGTGCAGGTCTAGGACCAGAGGGGACAGCCATTCCGCAGCCTCGTTCCCTCCGGCCCCCCCACCCCGGCCCTCTGCCCTGGCCAGCAGAGGCTGAAACAGCCCCGGGAAGCTCCCAGCAGCCTTCAGGGCCCTGGCAGCGGGGCCCCGACCTCTCAACAGCTCCCAGGACCCAAGCGGCCCCAGAAGGCCCCCGGGGAACCAGCCCTCGGCCCAGTCAGGCCCAGCTCCCTGGGGAGGCTCCAGGGCCCCTGGGGCGACTCACCACGTCAGCATCACTCCCGACAGGAACGTGGAGACGTAGTGGTGCGACACCCACCAGCCTTTGATTCTGCGGGAACAAGAGGACGGTGCTCAGGCTGGGAGAGACCTGCACCCCGCTTCCAGAGCCTGCGGGCTGGGCACCGCTCGAGGAACAGAGGTGGACACAGGCCACACCGGTCCCCCTCTCCGGCCTACACCCACCCCTCAGGACGCAGCCCAGCCCCACTCGGCGCCGCCTCCCATCCGCCCCACTGGAAGAAGCTGGAGCGCCTGGCATTTCCCCGACCCGGCTGAGCTGTTAGGGACCGCATGGGTCCCCAAGTTCCTTAGAAGGTGACTGTATTTGCAGACAGAGCCTGTAAAGACGCAACCGAAGGGAGGTCACAAAGGCAGGGCCTTGTCCGCTGTGCGGGCATCACTGCAGGGGGAGGCACAGCGCGGGTGCGAGGTGCAGGCACGCAGGAAAGCCCCGTGGGATGCAGCCAAGGAGCAGGGCCTCAGGAGGACGCCAGCTTCATGCCTGAGGATTTCCAGGCTCCAGCACAGAGGCAGAAATGTCTTAATAGGCCCGACAGAACCTTGTCCCCCTGTCCTCTCTGCCCCAAGACTTTGGGAGGCAGGGTGAGAGAACATTTCACTATGTAGTGCAAGCTGGCCTCACACTTGAGGTAACCCTCCTGCCTCAGCCTCCTCAGTGCTGGGATTACAGGCCTGGGCCAACAGGCCCCACTTTGCTCTGAGACTTGCATCCCTGGGTCTGGGCCCAAATTCAAGATTCAGAACACCAGTCACCTCTTCCAAAAGGCCTCCCAGACCACAGGGCCCAGAGCAGCACTCAGCCCACCCCAGGTCACGTCCCGGTCTCCCTTCCTGGTGCTGTCCGCCATCAGAGCCCCACTTCCACCCCTACGGGAGCCCCAGCAGGGCAGGGGCCAGGTCTGCTCACCGGTGCGTCCGTGAGGACAGGGTTGGAGCAGCGGCTCCACAGCATGTTGGATAAACACACGTGTGCACATGTGCACACACACACTACTGTGGACCGCACACACCCAGGCTCCTCTCTGTCACTCTCCCAGCTCCGACCTCCTTCCCCTGCTAGTAGAGCGCAGGCTCCCGGAGCTCTGGGCCCTCCCGAGGCGGCGGGAAGGGAGGCTGTTAGGCCCCTGCCCCAGGCATCGATGGCAGCTGAGGAGCGAGGGACCTGGGTTCCTCAGCTCCCACCCTTCCGACGCCTGGCTCCATGGCTGGCGGCGCCTTGTGGTGCCCTGGGACCTGCTACCCAAGCACGTCCCGGAGGGACTCAGGGTGTCCATGGGCACAGCAGGCGCCTTTGTCACTCCAGGTCTCTCTAGGGACCAGGAGGGAGAGGGGTCCCGGGCCCTCGTCCCACAGGGGACCCACGAGAGCCTGCTGTTGGCCGAGGGGCTGCTATATGACTTGGAACTCACCATCCGGCAGCCTGCGCCTGTCGGACCGCAGGCCCCCCGGCAACGACAGAGCTGGCATTCTGTTTGCTGAGACAGGACCTCACCGTGTAGCCCTTGAACTCATGACTGTCCTGCCTCGGGCTCCCCAGTGCTGGGATTATAGATGGTGTCACCACGCCTGTCACTCCCGAACACCCTGTCATATTCCGGCGTGTGCTTCTGGCCTCACCCGTCCACAACCGCCCCATGTCTCTCGCTGTTGTGACGTCCTGTACAAGTCCCCTAGCACAAGGGCACTCTCTCCGTGTGGTGCCAGGAGGAGGATGGCTGGATCGGGGGATATGACTCAGCATATTATGCTCCAAAACGGTCACCCCAATTTACACTCATGTCAGCAGTATACGAGTACCTGGTTCCCCAAACCTTCGCCAACACTGTTGATCACATTTTAAATTTCTGCCAGTCTTTTTTTTTTTTTCGGTACTGGCAATTGAACCCAGGACCTTCAGACTGAGCTACACTCCCCAGCCCTTTGGTATGTATGAATGTAGGTATGTATGTATGTATGGTTTTTTGGTTTTGTTTTTTTTTTTTTTTTTGAGACAAGGTCTCACTAAATCACTAAGTTGCCCAGGCTGGGCTGGAACTTATGATCCTCCTGCCTCAGCCTCCGGAAGTGCTGGGATAACGGGAAGACGCCACCACACCCAACTTGCTTTCGTGGTTTTTTGTGGCGCCAGGTGTTGAACCTAGGGCCTTGCATGTGCTAGGCAGGTGCTCTATGGCTGAACTCCACCTTCAGCCTACCACTGAAGTTTTCCTTCCCATTTTCCTAGTAGGTGGGTTGGATCCGTCTTAAACCTTCCAACCAGAGCACACACAGTCATAAACACAGGGACTGTATCTTAATCACCTCTCCTCTTTTCGGCCACGTAATGCTCTGGGCATAGATACTCGCTCCTGCAACAGCGAATTATGCTCCAGGAGTCACCTAAGAGACCACGTGAGCTCTGTACTCCTAGCGCTAAGGCAGGTAAACAAAACGCCCCCAGTAAATGTTGGCATGCACGATGTCCAGGAGGTAGGGCTGATGAAAGGACAGGGCGGGACATCCCTCCGGGCACTTCTCTGTCCCCAGCACCCTCAACCCGTCTCCACGTCCCGCCTGCGATTTCCTCGGGGCAAAGGCAGATGGCCTGACCCGCGGACGCTCAGCTCAAAGGGCAGCCAAGAGGTCTGGCTGCAGCCTCCCCGGAGCTCTGGAAGCCACAGCGGAGCCCTCAGAGCCGGGCCACCCCCTCTCCTTTGTCCTGCTCCCCAAGGGGCCCCTGAGAAATGCCCTCTCCCTGTCTGGGAGCGGCCAGGGCCAGACACAGATGCCACCCGGGCAACAAGCCTGATGGAGCAGCAGCTTTTACTTTCACAGCCCACCGTGCCCACGGCCCAGTTCTGACAGACGCCACCACGCAACGCAGCTCAGCAGCACTGGAGGAGCTGGAAATCACCTCTTCCCGTGCCCCACCGCCCGCCCGCCGCCCCAGGCCTCGGGGCTGGTCTTGCGCATGCGCTTCTCCCGTGACAGCTTCTCCCCTGCCTGCCGCCCACCGAGTCCCAACAGCAGGGCCTCAGGAAAGCCAGTGAAAGCCGGCACTGTAGGCTGGCTCGTTAGAACATCAATATCGTTGTCAATTCATTACTCATTCTGGCCCAGAACCGCAGTGGACACGGGCTGTTTTGCCATCTGTCAATCGCCACCCATTCCATCCCTGGGGTCCGCGCTTCCTTAGGGGGAACCACCTCACCCCACACTGGGGCCTCAGTGGTGCTGAGGCATATATCATGGCACATGACCCAGAGCTGGCCAATCAGGACTCTGCAACCATCCTACAACAGTGATTGGTCTGCAGGCCAGCATGTGACCCAAGCCTAGCCAATCACAAATCTGACCCAGAATTCCCATTGTCTCTGGAGGCAGCACAGGGAGGCTAATACACTGCCCTTTCATCTCCCTGAAAGGCCAGTTACAGGGCCCCTCTGTGCCCCTGCAGGTAACAGTCCCTGTTGGGTGAGCTGCCCTCCTTTGCAAATTCTGCCAGGGAAGCTGCCTTGCTTACTGAGCCAAGGAGCTCATCTCAAATCGCATAAAGGGAAGTCACACCCAGCCCCGTGCCCTGACCTCTCCGCCTGGCTCAGTTCTGGTCTCAGGTGCAACGGGGGAGAGGACAAGTCCTGCCCATGCCAAACAGGGTAGCAAGGAAGGCCCATGCGGTTCAGCCCTGCTGCCTCCAACCCCCGCATGGCCTCGGAGGCCTGTGCTCACTGCAGATCCTGGGTCCGAGCCATCTGTCACAGCCCATGGTGTCCACCGGGCACTGGCCCCGAGCGCCCGCGCAGGCAGAGACAGGTGGAGCTCACCTGGGTCTGGACGCCTCCACACCCCCTCGCTCCTCTCTGGAGATGGCTTCTTAGCCGTCCCCAGAAGGAGCCAGAGCCGGAGGAGGCTGGAGGCTGAAATCTCCTCCAGGTGCTGAGGATGACGCATGACTCAGTCAGCAGACCCGGCCCACCCGCCAAGGCTTCCCGAGGTCACTGTGGAGCCCAAGGCCGCCATGCAGGCCAGCAGCCCCGTCTGCACTTCCCTGCCCAGGCCAGCCTGGAAGACGGCTCAGAGGAACAGCTCTGCTACAACCTGGAGTTGCCGGAACCCTACCGGCCACAGCAGGGCCTTCTTCCAGAACACTGTGCGTGTTCCTAAGAGCAAGTGTGAGTTGCCCTGGTGTCCCTAATTCAGTGTGTGGCGCTTAGGAAATGTTCAAGAAACGTGGGTGAATGGCACCGAGGGGTGCACAGCAGACCCCACACAGAGCTCTGCGTCGCAGGCAGGGGCGGCCTTTCCTCAACGGACCGACAAGCAACCCTGGGCTCCAGGGCAACGTCTTCCTTCCTTTTAACACACCTGAAAGAGCCCCATGTTTCAGGGACCCTGGCAGTCCTGCTCCCTTCCGTCTGCGAGCACCCCCGTACCCCTGGCACAATACCTTTTAAAAACAAAGCTGCCCAGGGTAACTCTTGCTAAAGTATGAATGGCTGTTAGAGACCAAGCACACCGCGGAGCCAAGTCCTGCAGAGGGGTAAAAGCCCAAGGCTGAGAGCAAGGCTGCAGGAGCAGGAAGAGTTAGTGGTAAGGGTGCCTCGACCACGGCCCTGGCCCCATCGCTCCCCAATACCGCCCCGCTTCCTTTAACCACGCCCCAAGCAGGCAGTGCTATTCCCTCGACAACGAAGGGAAGCTGTGTTGGTTACCTGCTAAGGCTTCCCACTTCCAGGTTTCCCAGCAGTTTCAGAGGATGCTAGGCCCAGGCCCCCATGACAGCGAGCTGTGGGAAGATGCCAGCTTCCTCCTTCTTTCCTTCCTCCCTCAGCCAAGGACAGTCTCAGTTACACGCTTGCACTTTACATATTTTTCAACACCAGGGGTTAACTCCAGAGCCTTTGTACTGAGCTACACCTCCGGCTTATTTTCAAATTTTCAGACAGATTCCCACTAAGTTGCCCAGACTGCTCTCAAACTTGTGATCCTCCTGCCTCAGGCTCCCAGAGTGCTGGGATCACAGGCATGCACCCCCACGCCCGGCGAAGTCCTCAGTCTTGAATACACAGCTCCTGGCTGATCCCTCTTCTCTTCAGGCTCTCAAGTCACGCATCTTTATTTTTTTCCTCACTTGGCAGCCAGGGCCACCTTCACGCTGAGTATCACTGGATCCCTGAGCTCCGCCCCTGGCCGCAGTCTTCATTGGGCCAAGACCCCTCTCAGGGGCAGGCAGTGTGGAAAGGAGATGGAGAGAAAACTGTGGAGCTTCTTGAACTCCAGGCCTCTGAGAGACAGGGAAACAGGCCACCCACCAATGGCACCTGCACTCATGCAGTGACAGGGACATGATCTCTCCAAACCAGCCTGGGCTCGTGGAGCTGCTCGGTGATGGCGCTGGGACTGAAGCCCAGGAGTCTGCTCAGACACCTGTCCCTCCTCCTCTCTCCCCCTTGTGGGAGACCTCCCCGCTTGTCCCCCAAGTCTATCCACCTTTCTGGTACTGATATCCCAGTGTTCCCTGGGGAACTGTTCCAGAAGTTTCTGTGCTGCTACTGATGGCTGCAGGGGTGGGTAAGGCTTACGCCTGGCCAAGGACAGCCAGGCACAGTGTGGTGACAGTGACTGGTTCAGACACAGGGAGGGGAGCCACCCAGACGGCATCTAGACACAGCCCAGGGACCCAGCCTGGGAGAGGCTCGGCCGAGGGAAATGTGCCTTGTTTACTAGGCATGGAGCCGTGAGGATAAAGATCACACAGCAGAAGTCAAGAGATGAGAGACGGAGGGAAACTGGGTCCCGATGACATCTTCTGAATACCCGGATCAAGCCTTACCTGAGGTCCAGCCCAGTGAACCTGCTTTTTCTGTTCTGGACAACACGTTTCCTATTATGCTAAATCAGTCTGAGTCGGGGACACTGCACCAGCAGCATCAGTCTCCCTCCTCGTGCACCTGAACAGTCGCAGAACCCCCAGGGAGACAGGAACACAGGGGGTGGGCACCACCCCTCCGGGACAGCGTGCCCGGGGGCTCCCTTGGCCCGGCCCACAGTGGCTGGTTACCTGGAGCCGTTGCTGATGAGGATGCTCTCGCGGATGGTCAGGGTGCAGTAGTACCACACCAGCAGGAAGTTGAAGACTTCGTCCGTCACCCTGGTGGGGGGAGCCGCGTAAGGAGCGAAGACAGCTGCCGTGCTCACCCCGACACAACCACAGGGCCCCCCTCCCGAATCGGCCAGGACCCCCAGGCAGGCCACAGGAGCCAGGCTTCGGGAGCTCTTCACCCGCTGTGACGCCTGGCCCCTGCACTCCCAGCCCTGGCCCACTCAGCCCAGAGCAATCCAGCTGTCTCTCACACACTTCCTGTCTGATGGGAGGCTTCTGGTGCGGAGGCAGAGGGCCTGTTTGTTTTTTAGTACTGTTTTTTGGTTTTATGAGACAGGGTCTCACTATGTAGCCCAGGCTGGCCTTGAACTCGCCATGATCCTCCTGCCTCAACCTCCCGAGTGCTGGGATTTTGGTGTGCACCGCCGAATCCAAGTCAGATGAGCCTGAAGAACGGGAAACTTTCCGCTCTGGGTGAGGCTCTCTGCAGCGCAAAGATGTGCGCCCCCCAATCCCTGTAACCCAGTGGCAAACTCTGCTATGCAGATGAAACCCATCTCATGGCCCGCACAGGCTAGGAACAGGCTAACGGAAGAACCAGCTCCAGGTCCCCACCAAAGCCGGGCTGAGCAGGCCTCAAAAGTGGACAGGCAGGAGGAGCCAGGAAGAGATGCACACCGATAATCCTAGGACTCTAGGAGACTGAGGCAGGAGGATCACAGGTTCAAGCTCACCCTGTACAATTCAGTGAGATGCTGTCTCAAAATAAAAAATATTTTTTAGAAGGTAATGTAGCTTTAGAAGGATGTAGCTTAGTGCAAAGGCCCTGGATTCAATCCCCAGTACTGGGGGGAGAAAAGGTAAACAAGGGGCTGGAGCCTTCTGGACTGGGAGAGGAGGGCTTGTCCAGAGACCCACCTGCCTCAGCTTACTATCTTTAACATGGGTAGCTGACCCACTTCAGGAGCATCCCTGGGTAAAGAGTCCTGGAAGACGACAGTTACACACACCCCGCCCTCCAGGGTGCCTCTGATAATCTCCAATGAAGCCTCTGTCCGTCCACTTCCTGGTGTCACACAGCCCCACCACCTGGGAGACGGGACAGCACAGGCAGCGGCTGTCTGCGTGGGGAGGACCGAAGAAAGCCCTGGCCCCTGCCGCCCACAAAGACCCGACTGTGCCAGCCCGGGGTGGGGAGGAGGAGCAACAGCTTCAACAATGCAAAGCTAGTGACTGTGCCCTGTGGTGGCTGGGGATGGTCACTCCCAGCCCATGGACAGGTGACGGGCTTGGGAGACCAGCATGTTCTGGAATCCCAGGGCCTGAGTTCAAATCCTGAGTCTGCCCCTTCCCAGCTGTGGGACCATGGACTGGCAAGTGACTCTCCAGAGCCAGCACTTGCCACCCCTGAAGTGAGGTGCAACGGCACCTGCCAGGTGGGGCTGCTGTGGGCAGGAGCCGAGTTTCACATGCGGAGCAGCATGCTTCCCATTCTAACTCCAGAAAGTTCCACACTGGCCACAGTAGGAAAAAGGAGGCTCAAAAGCCTATTGCGAGCCGGGAGTGATGGCTCACACCTGTAATCCCAGCACTCAGGAGGCTGAGGCAGGAGGATCGTTGTGAGTTTGAGACCAGCCTGGGCTACATAGTGAGCTCAAGGCCAGCCTGAACTGCATAGCGAGACTCTGTCTCAAAAAGACAAAAAAAAAAAAGCCTACTGCTGAGAAAATCAGAGGCTGTGGGATTTGGACAAGAAGTGCAGAAGGCAGGGATGTCACTAATTATCTAAGCTGCCCAGGCTGAACTTGAACTTCAGATTTTCCTGCCTCAGCCTCCCAGAGTGCAGGCGTGTCCCACCGTGCCTGGCTTGCCAATACCTTGACTTCTGATTTCTGGCCTGCAGGACTGAGAGAACATATTCCTGTTGTTTTGAGCCCTGAAATAACTGTTCCTTCGTTAGGGCAGCCCAGGGCATTGCAGCAGGAGGTTCGGGGAGACAAGGTGTGACTAACACTGGCACGTGACAGCTCACCCAGGTTCCATGCAGGGCCCCAGAGGGCCCCACTGAAGGGACCCTGGCTGCACACCAAGAACTCTCAGCCCTCTCTGGAGGCCCACATGAGCAGGCCCTGCTGGGGAGCACAGCCTTTGTCCCCGGGGAGCCCGCTGGGCCCAGGAGCTGGTGGGCTCAGGCCCAGGGCCTTTGCTGAGACACAAGCAGCGCAGCCAGCAGCAGCAGGACGCCCAGCCGAGCACCGTGAGCACACAGACCCTTGGCACATGGGCCACCTGCCCCAGCCAGACGTAGCCACCTCCCACAGGGTAGAAAACACAGGCCCAGGGAGAGGAGCGGCGGCAGCGCAGGCCAGGCCCTGGCCCCGAGGGAGCGCTTAGCCCACAGGGACCCAGTGTGACCTCAGCACATCGCACAGCCCCGCAGCCATGGCCTGCCGTCACCTCGGCTTACACATGGAAACTGAGGTTCCCAAAGGGGACCTGCATGTGGGACAGCCCCTCAAGGCCGGGATCTGGTCGGGCCGCCTGACAGTGCCCTTGCGCTCTCTGTTCAGTAACGGAGATAAATTCACATACCACGAGATTCATTCTTTTTTCTTCTGCAGTGCTGGGGAGCGAACCCAGAGCCTTCAAATGAGCTACAAGCCCAGCCTTTGTGGAATTCTTTAATTTTGATACAGGATTTTCCTTGGTCCCAAAAATGCCCAGGCCAGGTTCAAACTTGTCATCCTCCTGTCTCAGCCTCCAAGACTGCTGAGGTTACAGGTATGCACCATGATGCCCAGCTCAAACTCACCTTTTAAAGTGTGTAAGTGGGTTTGTTAAGTTCACAGAATTGTGTAAATCACGATTACCTAACTCCAGAACATTTTCACCACTCCAAAAAAACTCTGAGCCAGGCGGGGTGGCACAGGCCTGTAATCCCAGCACTCGGGAGGCTGAGACAGGAAGACCACTTCGAGGCTGAGGTTAGCCTGGGCTACAAAGTGAATTTAAGGCCAGTGTGAATTATATAGTGAAACCCTGCTTAAAAAAACGAAAACTTTTTTAAAAACTGTAACACACAGTCTCCTCCTACTGAGCTACTCTGTCTCCACAGATTTTCCTGTTCTGAAATTTCACATGAGTGGAATTATACACAGGGCCTTTTACACCCAGCTTCCTGCCCTCGGCACGCTGCTTCCTGTCATCCCACTGTAGCATTGGTCGTGCCACGTTCCCTTGCGGTAGAATAATGCTCCACCGCACAGAGCAACACCACCGCACTCCCGGGTCCCACGCTTAGGCTCCTCCAGCCATTCACAGCTGCTCACTGACACACAGGGAGACAGGAGCCCCTGTGGAGTCCCCTGGCCTCCTCCTCCTCCTCGCACCCCACACACCCCCTACCTGTAGTGAAGGACAAAGCGACAGGCCACAGCCCCCAGGAGCAGGATTATGGTCAGGTAGAGCTTGAACTTCTCATACTCGTCCTTGTAGGCGAACCTGCCATGACAGACACCCCCGGGAAGGTCACACACGATGACCGCTCTGCTTCCCTGGCCCCAATCGGACCGCAGGCCCCGCCCCAAAGGACCTCCCATCCTGCCGAAAGAGGCCTGGCCTTGAATCAGTGACACCCAAGAGGGAAAGATCGTTACACAAGGTTCCCTGTCCCCGAACTCCAGCGTAGGACTCTGGACCCTCCTCCCTCAACCAAATACAAACACCAGGGGTCACAGCTACCCAGAAATGGACTGACAGGGACGGGCAGGAGGCCCTGCTTCCCGTGAGAAAAGCTGTGACATGCATGGAACGGAGCAGGGGCCACTGAGGGAAGCAGGGAGCTCCGCCGCCACACAGTGACCTGGGGAAGGGCGGAGGGAGGCTGCGCCCAGCTCAGCAGTAGAGCACTTGCCCAGCATGCCTGAAGCCCTGAGCTCAGTCCCCAGCACCACGAAAGGAAAAAGGAAGGAAGTGCTCTAGGCTAGGAGTGCTGGAAATGTCGAAGTGCTCCAGCCACTGAGGACGGGCTCAGAAAGGCCAAAGACCAGAGCCCCGCCGGCTCACACGTTTGACTTCTGCGCAAAGCCTAGCCCGTGTGTGCTTCCTGAGTGGCAGAAGCCCGAGTCCGTGAGGGGTACGTACTTGGCCTGGTTGCTGAGCAGGGTCACGTTCACGTTGCCGAGGACCAGGTTCAAGTAGAGCCTGGAAGACAGAGCAGTGAGGGCTAAGCGGCTCGGCCCCGGAGCACGTCCAGACCTATGCCTGCTGATGAGTGCGACAAGTACTCACCAGCAGAAGCCAGGACGCTAAACAAGCAGCCCCCCAGGCCCCGATCAAGGGACAACGATGATCAACTAGAGACACTGGCAACAGCATGCACAACGGTGTCATGAACTCACTTCCCCATGGAAACTGACTCATGGCCCTCAATTCCCAGCCTCCTTTGCAGCCAGATATAGCACATGACTAGGTTCCAGCCCATGAGGCAAAGGCACAGGTATAATCTCTAGGTCAATTTAAAAAGGATGCTGTTGGCTGGGGTAGGGGGTAGGTTCATGCCTGTAATCCCAGCACTCAGGAGGCTGAGGCAGGAGGATTGCTGCAAGTTCAAGACCAGCCTGGATACAAAGTGAGCTCAAGGCCAGCCTGAACTACACAGCTAGACCCTAGCTCAAAAAGACAAAAAAAAAAAAAAAAAAGAGGTGGGCTAGGGTTGTAGCTCAGCAGAAAAGCTCTGGGGTTCAATATCCAGTACTGTCCCCCTGAAAATCTACTTTCAGCAAATTTTCAATATGAGCCGGGTGTGGTGGCGCACGCCTGTAATTCTAGCACTCCAGAGGCTGAGGCGGGAGCATCACCACAAGTTCAAGGCCAGCCTGGGCTACACAGTGAGTTCAAGGCCAGTCTGAACTACAGGATGAGATCCTAACTCAAAACAAAATTTTTTTTCAATACGCAAAACTACATGACTAACCACAGTCTTCACTCTGTACACTAATTTCTAGGTTTCTTCACCCTACGGAACTGCAAGTTTGTCACCCTTGAATCGGCTCCCCATCAGCCCCTGTCCCTTGCTGCTGGTGACAAGTCTGCACTCTCCTTTTTTGTGTACTCAATTTTCACCCTTTTTGGATTTCACACACAAATGAGATCATGCAATATGGCTCTTTCTGAATCTGGCTGAGTTCCCTGGGCAGAAGGTCCCCCAGACTTCTCCATGTGCTTTCTGGTTTTGGCTGTGAACATACTTTCGGAAAAGAAAAAAAAAATCGAGCCGTAATTCACATGCCATAAAATGTAGCCTTTTAAAGTACACAATGTAATGGTTTCCAATGTATTTACAGTGCTGTGCAACCAGCACCGTTACCTAATCCAGAACATGTCCATCACTCAAGAGAGAAGCCCAGGCCCACAAACAGCCTCTTTCCCCCCGCCCTCCGCAACCTTGCGCCTCCTCTCTGTCCCGAAGGATCTGCCTGTTCTGGATGTTTCATATGAGCAAGGTCATACAGTGCTGACCTTTAGGGTTTGGCCAGTTTGCTGTGAGCGGCCTCATACCTGTCTGTTAGAGGACGTGACACTCGCTGCACCTGGAACTACCCAGGAGTGGAACTGCTGGGTCCTTGTGTAGGTGTGTGCATGTGCGTGTGTGTGTGTGTGTGTGTGTGTGTGTGTGTGTCTGGCTTCTGTAGGAAATGGCAAGTGTTATTCGTGGAGAGAGGCTTGCACTAATAAAGGTGCAAATAAAGGGCTGCAGCACCTCGGGGAGGAAGGATAAACTGCAGAGGGACAGAGGTTTGGGAAGACTTCACTGAGGCGGTGACATTTTGAATTGGCTTTGGAAGAACAAGTAGAAGTCTGAAGGGAGAAGAGAATGGAGGTCTTTTCCCAGCTGTGAGTGGATTTTCAGAGCATTTCCAGTCGGCCAGAACCGGAGCAGAAGTACAGGGAACAAATCAGTCTTCATTTCCCACGGGGGCAGCACAGTTCTCTTCAGAGAATTACACCCCCACCACCCCGGCTACCACCCACAGAGGAAGGCACATGGCCACGGCTCAGCCAATCAAAGCAGACTGTCCTCTGGCTGTAAGAATGATCATGTGACCCCATCCCAGGGCTTAAGGGAAGGCACATGACCACAGCTCAGCCAATCAAAGCAGTAATCCACCTGACTGGTCTATGAATGGCCATGTGACTCAATCTAGGCCAGAGAACCAGCCCTGGGACTTTTCCGATAACCCCTTACTAGAACCACTAAGCAAGCAGAACTGGGGGGGGTCAGTTTACAAAGTTTCTAAAGTCTAAGGAGGAAATGTATACACTAGGGAAGAAAGCTGCGTGAGAGTTCCTAACAGCATCATTGGAGCAGCAGGATCCAGCCACAACTGAAGCCATATCCAGAGTTTTTAGTTACAGCAGCCAATGAAGCCTCCATTTTTTTTTTTACAACTCTGAGTTAGATTTTGTATCCTTGGTAACATGAAGATCCCTGACTGGTGTGAAGTGCACAAAGACCCAGAGAGAAGCAGGGAGGTGGGTCAGAGCACTCCTGTAAGGGTCGGTCCTGACTGACAGACTGCTGTTTCACTGTGACTGCCACTCGGGGCGTGTGGCCTGGCCACGCCTGGGCCGAGTCCCCAGGCCGGACGCTCACGCGTCTCCGAACTTGTGGAAACGGGTAGCTGAGGAGAAGTGAGCATCACGGGACCTGCCGGCACGGGCAGGGGGAGCGGCAGGCACTCACACAGCTTGGTTCTCCCGGAAGAGACCCCTGCCTCTGCACCCTAATGCTGCCCGTGGTCCGCAGGGGCTGGCCCCTCGCAGGTCTTTGCAGGGCGGTCACGGCCACCTGAGGGCTGAGGGCCTCTCCGGGCTGGAAGAACACGTGGAAAGTGTCCTCCTCCTTCCTGCCCTCGCCCGCACACCCCCTCAAGCTCGGGCACAGGGGCTCGCGCTCCTACCCGTTCTTCTTGGGCAGGTAGGCCTCCATGTCGAAGAAGACGTTCTGCCGCTCCTTGATGTGCGCGCCCATCTGCTGCACCAGCTCCGCCTCCTCCTGACCGGCCTGGCGCTTGTACCTGTGATGGGAGGGGGCAAGGGGGCGGTGTCACTCAGATGAGGGGAGCGTCTGGACCCCAGAGCCTCGCCCTCAGCTTGCCCCACCCAGGCCACACCTCAGTTCCGTTTGTTTTTCTCTGTGGGCCAGGGATTGCATCCAGGGACGTCACACTGGGCTACATCCCCAGCCTTTTTTTTTTTTTTTTTTTTTTTTTTTTTTTTTTTTTTTATTTTGAGACATGGCCTCACTAAATTGCCCAGGCTGGGCTCCAATTTGCACTCTTCCTGCCTCAGCCTCCCAGAGTGCTGGAATTACATGTCTGTACCACCATGCCCAGCTGCAGCTTCCATTCTGTATTCTCTGGGCAGGGGCCTGGCGCCCCCACACCTTGTGATCTAGGCAATGTCCTTGAATCTCTCCTCCTTGTTTTCCAGGGTTACCGTCAGGCCCAGCTGCCAGACCGGAGGAAGACCTGAGTACACACAGCAGGAGGCACCCGGGTAATACGTGGCACACAGCAGGAGCTCAGTGGGTACTGGCTGGCAAAGCTACGTTCTCCCTTCACTGTTCTAAAGGAAAAGCCTGAACTTTACTAAGAGGACACAGAGGCCTGGGAAAGCCCTGACAACTGAAACAAGCAGGTTTCCTCCTGTCTCGGCGGCCATGCCACTAGGAAGGACGCTGGAGGACTAAGCGTGGTGCTGCACGTGGCCATGTCAGTGCCCAGGAGACAGCCTGCGAATGAAGTCAAACTACAGGAAGGCAGAAGTGAGAGGAAAAAAACAAATTCTAAAAACGACCTTTGCCCCTGGATCCACTGATGCCTGAAGCTATTCCTGGTTTTTTCCATTAAAATTTCCATTATTCGCTTAAACCAGTTTTTAGCTGGGTTCTGGTCCCTTAAAACCAGAGGGGCCTTAGGCCGGGTATGGTGGTGCACACCTGTAATCCCAGCACTCAGGAGGCTGAGGCAGGAGAATTGATGAGAATTCAAGGCCAGTCTGGGCTACATAGCGAGACACTGCCTCAAAAAAAAAAAAAAAAAAAAAAGGTGGCAGCATATGACTATAATCCCAACTGAGTACTCAGGAGGCTGAGGCAAGACAATCACAAGTTCAAGGTCACCCTGGGAAACTTATGTAGCAAGGGTCTACCTCCAAAAAAAGGGCCGGGGGCATAGTTCAGTGACAGAGTAGCCATGCGTTCAATCCCTAGCTCAGGAAAAATAAAAATAATTCAAAAATAGGCTGAGGCCAAGCGTGGTGGTTCATGCCTGTAACCCCAGCACTCCGCAGGCTGAGGCAGGAGGATCGTTGTGAGTTCGAGGCCAGCCTGGGCTATAAAGTGAGTCCAAGGCCAGCCTGAACTGCATAGTGAGACCCTGTCTCAAAAAGACAAAGAAAATTTAAAAATAAAAAATAAATAAAAATCGGCTGAGGATACAGCTCAGCACTTCCCAGGCTCCCTCAAGTTTCAGCCCCACACCTACCTCTGGAGCTCCAGTCGTAAGTCTTTGAGGCGCTTCTTCTGTCTGTTGATTGACCCACTACACAAGGTCTGTAAGGCAATCAGCTCCTCCAGCTTCTGCCTGTAGATCCTGTGTGTCTCCTGAAGGATGGATGTGAGAGAACATGAACAGGTCGGGGGTCAGGGGACGTGACACCAGAGGTCACAGGTTGAGGGCTAAAATCCGACAAGTACCAAAAATGTGCCTAAAAATTCGGACAAGAATTGGGGAAGCCAGCCCCACCCTGCATGTGTGTGTGTAACTGCCCAGGTCCCACTCCTCCTGATGAGAACGGCACCCAATTAGATGCATCACCCAGAGTGCACTTCTTGCCAATTCTTACTCCAGATGGTTTTCGGTGAAGCTGAATGTCCTACCTTTCAAGGTAGTCATATGATTCAGGCTGACCAATCAGAATCCTCCAGCACCTTGGCAGGTGATTGGTTCAGATGTAAACACGTGACTCCTGCTGACCAATGAGAGCCAGTCATGGGACTCTGCCAGGAAGACCTGGTTCCCAGATGATCTTTTTCTTTTTTTTTTTTTTTTTTGGTTTTTCTCCAGTACCAGGAACCGAACTCACGACCTTGCGCATGCCAGGCAGGCGCTTTTGCTGCTGAGCTAAATCCCCAGCCCCCCAGATGATCTTTTTCATTGGGTTTGCTAATCTGGTGAAAATTTTGCTTGGGCTGCTGTGAGTAGGGGAAGCCTTCTTAACAATGAAGCCAGGCAGGAATACAGAGTTGAAAGTAAGAGAATTCTTACAACATCTGTTACAGCTTGGAGGTGCTTCACCTCCCAAAAGTTTCTATGTTGGAAGCCTGGTCCCATGTAATGGGACAGAGAGGGGGTGGGACGTTTAAGAAGTGGGACTGAGTAGGAGGTAATTATGGTCAGGGATGCAGCACCTTGAGACGCTTGCCCCGCTGGCATGGGTGGGTTAGGTCTCATGGGACTGGGTTAGTACTCTCAAGAGTGGCTTGTCAGAAGCAAGCCTGGCACCTCCCCTTGAGGCTCTCTCAAACCGAGCTCTTATGCACGCCCCCTCCCCACTTCAGGATGCCATCTGCATTGCATGACAGCTTGAGGCCCTTGAACTTGGACTCTGCCCTCCGAAACCATAAGGCAAAATACACGTCTGTTCCTCACAAGTACCCAGTTCCAGGGATGTCATTATAACGGCACAAGACGGACTTCGGCTCTTGCTCTGGTGAGTCTGAACGGCAGGCTGTCCAGTGCTCTACGGTATAGGAACTGATACATTCCTTTCACTGCCTGTTCACTTAGAGTTGAGTTTCCAATCCGGGCAGTGAAGAGTGTTGTAGCAAAAGTACATAGCCCTCCCCTCTCTGGTCTTAGGGGCCACCCTCCCTATCCATCACAGTCCCTCAAAAAAACTCAGTATCGCACTCTTGGAAATAACCACTGGGGCCAGGACAAGACATTCCGTCCCAGCGCTGGGAGAATGGAACATGGTAAGTTCTTCAATGGCTACAGAGCACACCTGCCAATAAATTATACCTCTAGAGGTGGCAGGCCAAAGAACATGAAATTAAAATCACTAGGCCAGTGAACATGGGTAAAGTGGCTGGTTTCATAGCTGGTACAGAAGAAATGTATTTTCCAGAGAGAGAGAAAAAGGGAAATCAGACAGGAAGGACAGAGCCTAAACCCTCATGCCTTCTGAGCATGGGTCCCTAGATAGGAAAGTTAAACCAGCCAGGCATGGTATTGCACAGGAGGCTGAGGCAGGAAGATCACAAGTTCAAGGCCAGCCCAGGAAACTTAGCAATTTAGCAAGACTTTGTTTCTCAAAACAAAATAAAAAATGAATTACACCAGAGGGAGATATAAAAAAGAAATGAGGGCTGGGGATTTAGCTCAGCGGCACAGTGCCTGCCTGGCAAGTGCAAAGTCGTGAGTTCAGTTCCCAGTACCAGAAAAAAAAAAAAAGAAGAAGAGAAGACAATGAAGGGAGCAACAGCCAAAATGTGTGAGCAGGTCTGCCCACTCTGCTGGAAACGCAAAGGTCACAGCCTCCCTCTCCCCTTCCTGACCCCTCCATGAAGGGAAATCACACTCTCCCTTTATTTTGATTTTTAAAATTTCTTTCACGCCTGGGATTGAACCCAGGACCTTCACAGGGAACCACATCCCCTGCTAAACTGCTAAGTCACCCAGGCTGGGCTTGAACTTTCCGTCCTCCTGCCTCAGCCTCTCGGAGTGCTAGGATTACATGTGTGTGCCTCCATATACCACAATTTTAAAATAACTTCAATCCTGCAGAATTGTAAGAATGATACAAAGAATCTGGCTATACTCTTCCCCCAGATTCACCAACTGTTTGCATCATGCTATACTATTTGTTTATCCCGTGTGTGTGTGTGTGTGTGTGTGTGTGTGTGTGTTATCTTTTCCCAGATAACATCAACGAACCACAGCCCACTGGCCAAATCTAGCTGTCTAATTTTGCACGGACAGTAAGATAGGAATGGGTTTTGCAGGGCTGAAAAACAATCAGAAGAACGTTTCCTGACCCGTGAAAATGACATGGACTTGAAGCTGGGCATGGTGGCACACGCCTGTAATCCCAGCACTTGGGAGGCTGAGGCAGGAGGATCACTGCCAGTTCAAGACCAGCCTGGGCTACAAAGTGAGCTCAAGGCCAGCCTGAACTGCACAGCGAGACCCTGTCTCAAAAAGACAAAAAAAAAAGATGTGGACTTGCAGTTGCAGCCTCCATCGCAGTGCTCCTGGCACAGCCACGCCCTCTCTACAGGAGGTCTGTGCTGCTTCGGCACCGCAGTGGCAGGGTGTCTGGTGGTGACAGAGACCAGACAGCCTGAAAGCTTAAAGTCTCTACTCCTTGGCCTTTCACCGAAACACTTCACCCACTCCTGCACTCACCCAGTGGGGGCTGTGGACAGCATGGCTACTAAGTACTACACCTGTCCTGGGAACAATGTATCTCTTCCATGTCCAGATACAACTGTCAAATATAGAATTTAAGCCTGCAAGGCTATGAGCTCCTGTCCCATCCCCATTCACATTTCACTGGCTCTCTTTGGGCACTTTTCCTCCACACCCCGGGGCCCCTTCAGTTTCATGCCTGAGAGTACCGCTAGTATCTTGTCTCCTTCAACACAGAACAGTGCCTTGAACTCTTTCACAAACTGTTGCTCACTTCTATGGTGCTAGGGACTGAACACTCGACTACCCAGCTACATCCCCAGCCCTTTTTTTATTTTGAGACAGGGTCTCTGACAGGTGTGGTGGTGCACATCTGTAATCCCAGCACTTAGAAGGCTGAGGCAGGAGGATCACTGCGAGTTCTCTGTAGGTCCTCCTATCCATAGGATCACCACACACGGCAGTGACCAACTTTCTACATGTACTTATTAAATCACCCAAGGGCTGAGGGTATGGTTCAGTGGTAGAATGCTTGTCTATCATTCTTAAGGTCCTGGGTTCAATTCCCAGCACCAAAAATAAGTAAGTCCATAAAATGCTCAGTTAGCCAGGAGTGGTAGTGCATGCCTATAACCCCAGCACTCTGGAGGCTGAGGCAGGAGGATCATTGTGAATTCGAGACCAGCCTGGGCTACAAAGTGAGCTCAAGGGCAGCCTGAACTGCATAGTGAGACCTTGTCTCAAAAAGTCCAAAAAAAGAAAAAAAATTGAAAGGGCTGGGGATGTACCTCCATGGTACAACACTTGCTGGGTTCAAGCCCCAGCACCACAAAATAAAATAAATTAATTAAATAATTAAAAATAAAACACCAAGCATGGTGACGCACAGCTATAATCTCAGCTCTCAGGAGGCTGAGGCAGGAGGATTACTATGACTTCAAGGCCAGTCTGAACTACATAGCAAGACCCTATCTCAAAAACCCAAAAAATAAAAATGAAAACTATCTGTTGGTGACATAGGGAATCCTCCAGGTCCACAGCGGGAAGAAAGGGAAGAGATAACCTTCAGGAAGGTGGGCCGTGGGAGATAAAGGGCTGTCTTTGGTGTTAGTTTCTACCAGAGAGAGATAAGGGCCGTAGAAACAGCTGCCAGATACGCACCAGGTCTTCTGCTGCGGGATGAATATTTAATGTACAAGTAAAACATGAAGACATTGTCCTTGTTAAAAATTCAAACACTACACCGTGCTAACATCTGCTTTAACCCATCTCTCTCTCTTCCCTGGAAACAACCTTTGCCACCCATTTTTCCTTCCAGCCCTTTCTCTTTTTTTGGTTTCTTTCCAGTACTGGGAACCGAACTCACAACCTTGCACTTGCCAGGCAGGCGCTTTGCCGCTGAGCTAAATCCCCAGCCCTATTTTTTTTTTTTTCTTCCAGGCCTTTCTCTAAATTTTCTTCCTGGCTGTACTCTATGCATCTGGGTGTGGGGTGGGTTTTATTTTGGGTGGGTTCGTCTTGTTTTTTGAGATAGGGTCACAGCACGTTGCCCAAGCTAGCCTCCCACTCACAGAAATCCTCCCGCTCAGCCTCCACTGCTGGAACTATAGGTGTGCACCACCACACCTAGCACTGTGTTCCTTTAAAAACAAATTTTATGCTTAGTATGTGCAAGGCCCTGGGTTCCGTCCCCAGCACACACACGCGCGCACGCGCACACACACAGCCTTTACTGACGAATGACTGACATACAAGCCGTGAACCACAGACATTTAATGTATATAACGTGGTAAGTGCGGAGATAAGTATAACCTTCACACCTTCACCCCAGTGTTCGCTATGAACCTATCCATCACTTGCGAGGCTTTCCTCCTGCCTCCTTTTTGCTATTTACTTCTGTGTAATATGAACTCGCAACATAATATCCACCCTCTAAGCCAACTGTTAAGTGTGTAATACAATAGCAACCTCGGCCCACCTGCTGTGCAGGGGGCCAGGACTTCCTCATCCTGAGCTTCTGCGACCTCCCCGCCCTCCATGCTTGTCTACGTTCCCTCCGGACATTTCTTTCTTTTCTTTTTCCCTTTTCTTTTTTACTCAACATTTATTGAAGCCCACTGTGCGAAGCAAAGCCCACCGCTCTGGGCCCCGACTTCTACCCAGGCGACATCCTGCACTGCTGCTGCCTCTT